ATCTCTTGACCTCGTGATCCACCCGCCTCAGCCTCCCAAAGTGCTGGGATTACAGGCTTGAGCCACCGCGCCCGGCCCACCCTGCCTCTTTAGAAACAAAAAACAGCGCAGGCGCGGTGTCTCATGCCTGTAATCCCAGCGCTTCGGGAGGCCGAGGTGGTTGGGTTGCTTGAGGTCAGGAGTTTGAGATCAGCCTGACCAACATGGTGAAACTCCGTCTCCATTAAAAATACAAAAATTAGCTGGACATGGTGGTGGGTGCCTGTAATCCCACCTACCTGGGAGGCTGAGGCAGAAGAATGGCTTGAACCTGAGAGGCAGAGGTTGCAGAGAGCTGAGATTGTCCCACTGCACTCCAGCCTGGGAGACAAAGCAAGGCTCCATCTTAAAAAAAAAGAAAAAAAGCAAAAAAGAAACAAAATATAATAAATATATGTAATATACATATGTGTGTTGGGAGGATTGTATCCACTCCGAATGTCTAGGTACCATCACACAACTCAGACCCACAAAGAGAATTTTTAGGGATTTTAGTATCTGCCGTTTCCTCCTAACCCCTTCTCTCTATCCACCCATCCTCCACAACATCCCCCTAAAAACAGGACGATTCCCTCCCAGCCTTTCTGATGTGTGCTCATTTCCCTTGGACTAGGGTCAGGGAGGGAAGGTTCTACAGGGCACAAGCACCAGGGCTGCTGGGGGAAGAGGATGGTTCTGCTGCCCAGGGAAAGGAGAAGGTTTGAGAGAGGGGCACATGTCACTAGGGTCAAATGGTACCCAACCAGAAGGAAAACACCTGGATTCTCCCCCCAGCATGGACATAAGCCAGCCGGGTGACCATGGCTAAGTCACCCTGCTGTCCTGCTTGTTATCCATAAAATCAAGAAGTTGGGCCAAAGAGTTCTGAATCCTCTTCCAATTTTAATATTCAGCAAGCCCTTCTGCTCTCTCTGCCTCTCAGCAAGCTCCTATTCACCCCCCAACCATTTTTTTTTTAATGAGACGGAGTCTTGTTATGTCACCCAGGCTGGAGTACAGTAGCATGATCTTGGCTCACTGCAACCTCCGCCTCCCAGATTCAAGCCATTCTTCTGCCTCAGCCTCCCAAGCATCTGGGATTACAGGCTTGCGCCACCACACCTGGCTAATTTTTCTATTTTTAGTAGAGATGGAGTTTCACCATGTTGGCTGGGCTGCTCTCGAACTCCTGACTTCAAGTGATCCTCCCACTTTTCCCTCCCAAAGTGCTGGGATTACAGGCATGAGCCACTGCACCCAGCCTCCCGTTCACCCTTCGAAGCCCAGCTCGGAAGCTGCTCGTTTGCCTGAGCCTCCCAGGGAGAGTGAAGCCCTCCCTTGCCTATCACCCCATGGCACCTCACCCCTATGTCCATCCATGCTCTTGTCAATCACTCACTCATTCTTCCGAAAAGACAAATTATGCACTGACTCTGCTAGATACTGTCCTGGGACCTGGGGATATTCATGAGCAAAACAGATAAAAATCCCCGCTCCACCAGGTGCTGTGGCACCTGTAATACCAGCAGTTTGAGAGGCCAAGGTAGGGTCACTTGAGGCCAGGAGTTTGAGACTAGCCTGGGCAATATAACAAGTCCCTGTCTTGACAAAAAGTTCTTAAAAATTTTGTACTACCCCTGCAGTCCCAGCAACCAGTATTATAGTTCCACACCTATTCCCAGGCGAGATCATATGCGCTGCAGCCTTGAACTGGGCTCAAGGGATCCTATCCCAGGCAGCCCTATTGCACCACCTTTTAAAAAAAAAAAAAAGAGAGAAGTCTCACTATGTTGCCCTAGAAGGCTGAGAGAGGAGGATCGCTTGAGCCCAGGAGCTCAAAGCTGCAATGTAGATGATCACACCTGTGAATATCCACCGCACTACAGCCTGGGCACCATCTCTTAAAAAAAAAAAATAAACAGAATTTATTTTTAAATAGTGATGTGGTGTGTAGTGGGATGAAAGAATAATTACTTCCAGGACCTATTATAATGAAAAAAATGCAACAGCTGGGGTTGCAAAAAAAAAAAAAAAGAACTGCAAGTCCTGGCAGTGTCATGAAAGAACATTCCAGGCAGAAATAACAATCAGTGCAAAGGCTTAGCTCCTGTCTTAGCTCTCCTCCCAGGCCTGGAGGCTCCCCGTGTCCTGGTTACGTTGGGGTCACCTAGAGAAGATGCTTGTAACATGGATGGGGGTCCTCTGCTTTGTTCTCATGCTTGTGTTTCTCCTGTTCTAGACTTGCACCTAGCTGCGGAGCTGGGGAAGACTCTGCTGGAGAGGAATAAGGAGCTAGAGGGGTCCCTGCAGCAGATGTACTCCACCAATGAGGAACAGGTGCAGGAGATCGAGGTGAGGGCCCTGTATGTGCTTGCCCACACCCCTTGGGGGCCCCTTGGCCTGTGCGTGCCTTTATGTAACTTAGAATAAAGTGCCCTTTGGGAGGCCGAGGCGGGCGGATCATGAGGTCAAGAGATCGAGACCATCCTGGCCAACATGGTGAAACCCCATCTCTACTAAAAAAATACAAAAATTAGCTGGGCGTGGTGGCGCGTGCCTGTAATCCCAGCTACTCGAGAGGCTGAGGCAGGAGAATTGCTTGAACCCAGGAGGCGGAGATTGCAGTGAGCTGAGATTGCGCCACTGAACTCCAGCCTGGCGCCTGGTGACAGAACAAGACTCTGTCTCAAAAAAAAGAATAAAGTGCCTGCTTATCAGACACAGCTGTGGCCCAATGGCCTGGTACAGTTCACAACCATGCTGTCCTATACAAGGATAACACAGCTATCCCAGGCAGCCCTATTGTGCCACGTTTTGTTTTGTTTTGTGACAGAGTCTCGCTCCTTTGCCCAGGCTGGAGTGCAGTGGTGCAATCTTGGCTCACTGCAACCTCCACCTCCCCGATTCAAGCGATTCTCCTGCCTCAGCCTCCTGAGTAGCTGGGATTACCGGTGCACGCAACTACGCCCAGTTAATTTTTTTTTTTTTTTTTTTTTTTTTTTTTTTTTTTTT